TAGAACTCGATATGAGACTACCCTAGCCAGTTGGGCTGCTGGCACGTTATGTGTCAACTTAATCATCCCGTTCAATTTTATTATTTAATATCCCTTAATACGAAAATGTAAGATGCGGATTAAGTTTATCTCATTTCTTGTCCAATACATCGAATTTCTTCTTAATAATTAAAATTCTTGCTTTCATTTTAGTAACATCATAATAATCTAATTGAAATTCTATTAACAAAATTATAATGCAAGAATAACGTTCAGTGGGACGTGATAAAAGTTAAGATTAAATCTATCAAAGTTATAACGAACTACGTGGGCTTTGATCCCGATTAACTCGGGTACGTAGGCAACCAATAGGTTCGAGTCCAACTAATCAAAAATACTTTCTTACTTATGATATTTTGCGTCAATAGACGTATGATCGAATCGTAAAAATAAATACCTAATTATTTGAATCTTATAATTTAAATACGAAATAGGACGCAAATAATGATACACCCAACATTTAAAAACTTATCGATTTAAGTAGTACCAATTTTGGGCGTTGTGGGGTGTGAATACACTTCCCCACACGTAACTGTACTCCCGAACCCAAATCTCCAATATTCGCAGGCCAGATCCCGGTTCCGACCCTAAGGTTGGAACCGGACAAAAGGTATTCGATCCACCACAAGTAAGATCGATGGCGACTCCGAGCAAATTCGCGAGCGATCCCGATCTGCGAGGGGCGGTTGCGACACAAACATAATAGATAAAACAGATAAAATAGAATAATAAACAATACAAACTGAATTAATACAAAATAACTAACCAGACTTACAAACATTACAAAATAATCCAACAAACATAACAACATAATATCTCTCTCCCTCCGCGCAAAGAAGGTGGGAAAATATTTCCCCAAGACCACCTCTTTTACTCTGGGATAATATTTCCCATGCAGGCGGAAGGCAGGAGGACCCATGACCGACGCGCGGAAGATGTGAGGCCGGCGGAAGGCGGTAGGAACCGTGACCGGCGGGATGGAACGGAAGGTGGGAGGCACCAATAATAATTTTTTAATTGTTAAATAAATACAATATGAAATTACTACTCTACCATTCATTAAATTAGATTATTTATAGTCATCATATTTAAATGAAGTTGAATGGCTGAGATACACTTAGTCACCTTATCTTAGCCCTTATTTAAAACCAAAGAGCGGATAGTATAACAATAGCTTCTTTGTTATTAACAAATTTCATTAAAGGTAAAATAGTAAACTAACATTGAAATATAATAAAAAAACAAAAAACCCTTTCCCCGTTTCCCGTATCTCAAATCGAAATCCGCCGGTGCTTTTCTCCATCGACCTAATTCTTCCGACGCCATTCCTTTCCAACACTGTCGTGAAACCCTACCTCGCCGCTAGATTTCTCTATAATCAAGAGATTGTAGCCGCGCGTCGACGAGGCTGACATCGAAGAAGCCCTGGTAGCGTCGAGCTACAATTCAACGAGCTTGGCAGGGTGAGCGGCGCCAGAGCCGTGGCCGGAGCATTCGACCTTGTTGGGGCGGCAGTTTCCGGTGGATTCTTCAGAGTAGTGCGTCCGGCCCCACATGCAGCCGCCCCAGGATGTCGTCGGGTAGATCGTTCGGGTCTTGCCTTTCTACGGAACAATAATTGTGGTTCCTATTGCATTCTAATAATTTGTACAATATTAACTCAATTCAATTTCCAGCAGATACACTAATTTAATTCACTTGTAATTGAAATTAGTGAGTCCAAGTAATTTTGTAATTTTTCTAATAATTACCACAGATCTCTTGGTGCAAACCATAAATATTTCTAAAGCACACCAGCAACTTTCTAATTAATATAGACCACAAACACGGTAAAACAAATCACAAAAGCATACGAGAAACATCTCAATGCATACCACAAATCCTCTAAAATATACGAGAAACCTCGCAAAACAACCACAAATATTTTGAAAGCACCCCAGAAATCTCATAATGTAAACGAGAAATACGGTAAAGCAAACCACAAAAAGCAAACCATAAACGTTCTAATGCAGACAACAAATATATTAAAAAAATAGAAACTTTACAAAGCAAACCAGAAATATTTTGAAAGTACAATAGAAACCTCTTAATACAAACTTCAAACACGATAAAGCAAACAAAAAACATGAGAACACAAACCATAAATCTCACAATGCATACCACAATATCTGATGCTCATTGACCATTGACCAGTCAACAAAAATCGTTGACCAAACTCCGACGACCGTCGGTGACTGGATTCTGGCGCGGATAAGCATATTCCGGCTCCGATGACTAGATTCTGACGCCGGTAAGCATATTCCGACCATGGTAATCAGGTTCCGGCGATGATGAGCATATTCCGACGACGTTGAGCATATTCCGGTGACCGAATTCCGGCGACAAAATTTTGTGCAAAAAATAAAAAAAATATTTTAAAATGTTTTTTTATTATAAATTTTTTATTTTTAATTATTATTTTAACATAATATTCATAATGAAAATTATGCCCTTGATTTGATTTTACATTAGGTCAACTTATCTAATAAAAAGTCATCACAACTCTATCTTCATATTGGTTAAACACTAGTGTTGTCACCATAACAACACAAGGGGTGTTATAGTAACCGGTTCCTTAGAACCACGTACAAGAGGGATATGGTTGTTTCAAGAGCGGTTTACACCTGAAGACCGGATTTTTTAGAATGACTACACCCTTCAAGTGTGCTTCTGAATCAACTTGTCGTTGCTTGTTTAATAAATCAATGGACTTTAGCTTTAGATTATGGTAATTAAGCTGTAGTTTTGGGGCTTGAAGGAAAGAAGAGGATTTCATAGAAGATAGTGTTTCAGGCACTAATGGTGGTGACTTGATTGGGTTTTTTTGTGGATGGAATATTGAATGACAATTCTGATAAATTCATCTTGGTCTATGAGTCTGATAATTTTCAAGGTTATATAGGTAATGGAAGCCTGTGGTTGTATTTCCCATTGCTGTTCTAAGTTGCTGATATTGTCCAATAATTATTTGCTTTGCAGGTGCTAGTTATGGAACTTATGCGGCCATTAGGCATAAGGTAAGCTTGTGTCGGTATGCAACCAAGCTGATGGAATAGAGCTTAAGTAATATTTACTACCCAACTCAATTCGATGTTCGAACCTCTTTGTTGTCAGCTACATTGTTTTGCAGTGTGTTTGGTTCTTGTTATTGCTGAGAAAGTGGACACATAACCTGCAGACTATGTGAGATTGGAACTCTCCGAATCGTTTGTAAAAAACACCTTAGCTTAGAGGCATTGTAAGATGATGATATTGAATGGACCTTTCTTTGGAATGTTTGTTGAGGGGTTAGTGGTGAAATCGGTTATTTGCTTAGTCTCCAACGTGTGTCCGACCCGGTCGATTTTGTCTGGATCCAGAGTTAGGTTGTTTCTTCTTTTGGTTCTTTTTGTTCTTGGAAGTTTCTCATTACATTGGAGTTTCAATTAGGGGTGGGCATTGGTTTGACCAAACCACACCAAACCGCTCCAAACCGCTCCAACAGTCAATCCAAACCGTACCGTTAACTATCGTTTTCATTTGCGGACTAACCATTTAGTTGTTCGTGGTTCGCGGTTTGGTTTGACCGAAACCACACGGTTACGGTTCAAAACCGCAAACCGGTAATTCTTACTGAAGGTCGCCCACCAGTCCACAACCAACGCTCGAGTAGATTTGCAGAGACTCTTCTTCCTCACCGCAAACTGCTATCCTCCCGGCGGCGATTCTTCTTCCTCACCCAGTCGGCCAGTCCCCGCCAGATCCGCACCATTCCCTCGCTACCCGTTCTGCCGCCTTCGGCCTTCCCCATCTTCTGTTCCTCTCGACGTTGCACAACACCAAGAGACGAGAGATCCCATCGACGCCGGCGACGCTTTCCCTGACCTAACATCCAGATTCGCACCTCCGCCGGCCTCCGCATCCCGGGTCACACCGCCGTTCTGGTACTCTCTCCCTCCCTCTTCATATCCTTGAATCTTGGACGGTCTCTTTTGGATTCAATCTCGAATCACTGATCCCGTCGGACCTCCACCAAGGCGGCGACCGACCCACTGATCCCTTTGCCCTCCGTGGGTTTTCAAGTAGGAATAGAGTTACATATTGGGTTGTTGTGTTGTATTTGCTTTGGTCTCCCATGTATCGCCTCTCTCTCGATCCAACGAAACCCACAATGATGGCGACCGAGGTAGATGAAATCGACCATCAACGCTTCCCTCGCCAACCGTCGTGCTCAAATTGTTGCTTCCCCCGATGCGAACGAAGGTTGCCATCGGGTGCAAGAAGATGAACAAAGAAAATTGAGGTTCAAGGTCGGTTGAGACCTAGGAGGAGAGAGGGAAGAAATATAGCTCGTCAGCCGTCACCTGCTGCATTTGTTATCATCGAGGAACTTGACGAAGAATGGGATTCTCAGGCTTGAAGTCTGGCGGTGGATCGTCCATCGGCAGGAGAGAAAGAGAGGAAAGAGAGGAGAGAAGAATCAGTATAGCTGCATTGAGATTTTCCCGTGTTATGTTGCTTCTTATCGAGATTCGAGTTACTGGGTTTGCTTAACTGAGTAGTTGAACTCCTGGGGTTAAGAATGTAGTTGATTGAATGATTACTAGTTGGCATTCCAGCGAGATGTATTCTTTCTGTGCTCCTGCTGAAGAGTCCAGAACATCAACTGGTGTAAGAGTATGGTGTGTGTATAAGAGTTTTTGTATGCTGTATAAAACCATGTTTAGAATGTGAACTACTAAATGAATGAAAAAAGGAATTTGAAGTTTATCTTGAGAATAGCTCAGTAATGGAAATCCACAGATGTTCATTGTATATTATGTTCCTGATGTTTATTGTATATTATGTTCCTGATGTCTTCTTTCATATGCTTGTAGGGCTGTAATGAATCTGTGATTTCGATATCAAGCAATAGGGAAACAAAAGATACTGTTATCGGAAAGATGAAATCAAAAGGCTCACAGGGAAAACGAGCTCAAGCACCGATACCCAGCAACAATGTGCTTAGTGTTAGTGAGGTGAGTTTCTTTACTATGGTTGACTTCTTAGTGTACTCGTCAATTTATTTGGGTGTGTGTTTCTGTATTGGGGTTTCAGAGTTGATTTATGCATTTGGGTGTGTGTTTCTGTGGGGTTTCAGAATTTAGGTAATGGGGCAGGGAAAACCTCATTCAGTCAATCTATCAATTTCCACCACCCAACTAACTTGCGGTGATTGGTGTCTCTTAGTCATTATCAGATATGATATCACCAAACAAAGAAATTGATCCTACTTTATCTAAGCTAGCTACTGTCAGGAAAGGAACTCAATCCTTCCACCTGTCTGCAAGTGATGTTATAACTGTTTGAGTAAGTGAGGTTATAACTCAATCCATTATGACAGCTGAATCACCTCCAGAATCCTTTCCTCCTTGCATAATCCATTGATCAGAGCATTATACTTAGGCACGGAAGGCTGAAATCTAGTTGGAAGCTCTTTAGCTTCATCCACCTTCCCAAAGAGTACACATACATGATACTACAGTAGTATATAATCTGCAGTAACTTCATTCATTCATTCATTCTTCTTGTTCTCATTTGCTCTGTTGTTGTTTTAGGCCGAGTGTGATGATGTTGGAATGGATTCCTTAAGTGGGGAAGAGATGGAAGTCGAAATGGATGCAAGTACGAGCAAGGTGGTTGCTAGTGATCATACTGGTTCAGCTTCAACTCACATTAATTCACCAATGCCAAAAGGGAGGAGGCTTACATCAAAAGTTTGGGTCCAATTCAGGAGGTATAAGAAAGACGGTTTATTCAAGTCATCATGCATCAAATGCGGGAAGACTTATGCATCTAAATCACGTAACAATGGAACTAGTGCACTTCGCAATCATATGAGTAAACCGTGCGGTGATGGAATAGGTACGGCTCAACAACTACTGAATACTCTTAGAGCTGAACTAGGTGAGGGGGATGAATCTGTGTTAGGCAGTTGGAAGTTTGATCAAGCAGCTATAAGGAAAGGATTGACTTATATGATCGTTGTGGATGAATTGCCTTTCAGATTTGTTGAATACTTGGGTTTCAAATACTTTATGTCACTTGCTTGTCCTAGATTCCATATACCCTCTAGAAGAACAGTGACTAGGGATTGTTGGGATTTTTATCTTGAGTTGAAACAAAAGTTGAAGGATGTCTTTAGCAACTGTGAAGGTAGAGTTTGTTTGACTACAGATTCATGGACTTCAAACAAACAATTGAACTTCATGTGTGTGACAGCTCATTTTATTGATAGAAATTGGATATTAAGGAAAATGATAATTGGTTTTCGCCAAATCTTTAGTCATAAGGGGGTGGATATTGCAAGTGCAGTTATGTCTTGTTTGGATGAATGGGGGATAGATAAGATTTTCACAATCACTGTTGACAACGCTAGTTCGAACGATACTGCAATAGAAGAATTGAAAAGCATATTTGATGATAGAAAGATTGGCATGTGTGATGGCAAATTTCTTCACGTTAGGTGTGTGGCTCATATAATGAATCTCGGAGTTGAGCATGATAATGAACGCTATTGGTATATCCGATGTTTCGCTTCCCCGTATCCATACTCCTCGTATGAGTCCTAATGTAGAGGCAAGCGCAAACATATAAGGTAACATTTGAAGCTAATCATTAGTACAATTTCTTACTGTATGGCTGAGTGTTTCTTAAAACACGGGTTATGTTTTTGAAAATCTTTTATAATTCTGGGAAAACCCACCATGGTTTCCTCTGTTCTTTTCCTTCATGGTTTGGGTTTCGTTTGAATTGTGGTGGATCGATCATCCTTAGGTTAGGTGGGAAAAAAGCACACTTGCTGCAGTAAGCTATATTTTGGTCGGTTTAACGAGCTAAAAAGACTAGTGCTTTCTTTTACGGTTACAAAGTGTCCACATGCTGGACACAATCACACAAGGCCAAATTAGAAAAGTCAGGCAAGATTAACACCTGAGCATGAGTTGGTTTATATTTCAGAAGCCATGTTTTGAGTTTATTTTTTGTGGTAGCAATGGTGCTGAAGTGAGGAGATTTTGGGGTTCTAAAGTGAATATGATATTGAATAGGTATCAGATATGGAAACTTTCCCATTGGATGCCTGAAACTTCATTGGTATCTATGAGACAGTTGCTCAAACATAATGGGGCAACAACTTCCTATAAGCAACTGCCATCCCTTCACCTTGAAAATTTACTCATACCTGCTCCTGGGTTGCTCTTGCAAGTTTTACTTTTTCTTCAGCCCCTGGAAAGAACGGAAGATTATGGTCTGCTGGTTATGTAATTGTTGTAGAAGAGTCACACCTTCAGCAATCTCCCCATCTATCTTCTTTTTCTAGCTTGCCCATATCATTCCCTTTCTCATCTTTCTGATCATGCTGTCTTTCTGATCGTACATAATGTACATGGTAATCATATGGGTAGCTAGGAATGACAACAGTAGTTGTGGCATGGATTAATTGATCATTTAGTCTCATTGATTGTGCAGCATATGCTCTGTTTTGGTGGCAAAAAACAGAGCATCTGATATGGGTTTTGGTGGCAGGAAACAGAGCATCTGATTTCTTTTTTATTGTGTAACATATGCTCTGTTTTGGTGGCAGGAAACAGAGCAATGTGGAGGGATGGCCTGATCCGTCATTTGCATTCAAGGCTTCAAGGCTGTTTTTTCTGTTTTTTCCCCATTTGCATTCTTTCTGTGCAGGGATGGTCTGATCCGTCAAGCACAGGGGCTGCCTGAAACCTTTTCTTCCCTATGTAATGTTGCAGTAGAGAATTGTTCCAATTTGCTCCTTATGAACAAGAGCTTGAGGCTTTGTTAGAGAAACTTCCAGTTGACTTCGAATTGGAAAACACTAGTTGGAATAACAGATTTCAGAATTAGAAAGTTTTTGGTGTTAGAAAGTTTCTGATTATTTTCCTTTGGAATTACGTCAAGCACAGGGAATTGAGATGCGGTGCGGTCTAAACCGTACCAAACCGTTAATTTATGCGGTTTGGTTTGACCGTACCAATAACTTTGCAGTCAAAAATGCGCTGCGGTTATATGAATGCGGTACGGTGCGGTTTATATGAATGCGGTGCGGTGCGGTCCGAATAGCACCAATGCCCACCCCTAGTTTCAATGCTACATGTGTCCGATCCAGTCGATTTCGTATGGATCTAGAGTTACGTTGTTTCTTTTGGTCTTGAAAGGTTTCTCATTATATTGAAGTTTGAATGTTGCATGTATAGGTGTCAATCGGGCGGGTTTGGGCTGGGTTCAATCGGGTTGCGGGTTAGTCTGGTTGCGGGTTCATCGGGTTGTGGGTTCATCGGGTTCGGGTTCAAACGGGTTGCGGGTCGGGCGGGTTGCAGGTTGTTCGGGTTAGCGCATTGAGTTACTTACTCTTTACTCGTTACCAATTTACACATTTTATTATACTAATTTAAAATATTTTCACAAATTTTAACCAATTTATTTCTACCTCTTATATATCCTTAATTTAAAAAAAAACTAGTCAAGATATTGAATCATTTTGTATGACTTGCAAACTTGTTATGTAATTAATCGTAATTGATAAAGTACTAGCTAACAGTAATAGTGATATCAACATTTGCAACCAAAAGACTCCACTAATTGTTTATTTGGTATTTTAGTATCTATTCAATAGCAATTTGATTAAAGTACCTCGTTTAGTAGAACCATGCAAATATGGTATTTGGCGTGTGGTATTTAGAAAAAGCATAGTGGTAAAATGAGTTATTTCAAAGTAACTCACTGCCCAAATAATCAGTAAAATGTTGCCAAACAAGTTATTTGTAAAATTGTTAAAATTACCCTAAATATTGAACCATTGAAGATTAACTATCAAATCTAGTAAAACTGTTGTGAATTCAATCATAACTTACTTAATAACATATCCTATACACTCAACCCTTACCCTCAATCGACAATATTAAGTTAGTATATATTGTTGATCGTATACCCTAAGCCATCAATACATTATACACCAATCATGTACCATATACACTAACCACACCCTATACCCTAACCATATATCCTTATGAGTTGCGATTTTGCTACTATTGTTAGTTTAAAGTGAAATTAATACTTTTAATTTAAAAACATAGATAAAAACTTGATATTTGCTATACCCTAACCATAAATCATATACTCTACACCATATACCCTATACGCAATGAATTAAAATTTCAAATGACTTCAAGTGAACATATGTTAATAAAAACTTAGAACCGTTCAAACTATCAATACCCTATGCCCTAAACCATCTGTAGCATATAACCTAATCATATGCTCTATACCCTAAACAACGAACAATCAAATATAATTTATCAAGGTCAGTAGAATTGTTGTGACTTCAATAATAACTCTACTAGATAACATATACCCTATACTCGGGTTGCGAATTGTTCTGTTCAACGCATCGAGTTAGTTACTTATGACTTGTTACTACAACGTACACATTTTTATTACACTAATTCAAACATTTTTTAGGATTTTTAGCCAACTTGATGACGTTCACCGATGATGATGTTAACGAGTCTCGGTAGTTTTACGTCGGAATTTTGTGTTGAGTAGGCAACTCACATAATATTTAAACAAATCGATTTATATTCAAATAATTAAATTTGTTAAGGGAATGTGGCTTTCTTGACATGAATAAAAATGAAAATTTTACCATCTAAAAGATAAAAATTTATCAAAATTAAACATTAATTTTTAAAAATTATTTAATAGAATGTTTGTATACAAAAGTGTTAACCAACACTAAATGAAATGTCTTTTATTTTGGGGGGTTTTACCTCTCACACTTTTCAGTCCCGCTCAAAATTTCCTTCTGCCCGCGGATGCAATACTCTGAAAATTTCCTCCTCCCTCCAAAAGTGAAAATATTCCCTCCATATCTTATCCTTCTAAAATTGAGAGGCCAGTAGGTCACTCTCACTTGCCCTAGCCGCCTCCCTCTTCAATTTCCATCCTCTCATTTTGCTCTAGTTGAGAATGAGAACTTCCTGCTTTTACTTCTTCCTTCACTCTTAATGACCCAAAAGGGCCAAAACCTTAAACCATCCCTCTCTCATTCTTTGCTTCTCGATTCACATATCTAGAAAATAAAATCAAGCCTTACTGTCTTCTCCCTAATCCGAGTCTCATCTCCTCTTCTCACAAGTTGAAGCTGTTGTTGCTACTTCTCGAGTAGATAGATGAATGAACTTCACATATAGCTTCCCATTAATAGTTCCCTTAAGTTATACCAGATTAATTTTGTAGATTTGTAAAGAATTATTCAAGAAGGCGATCGATGTAGATTTGCTAATATAGGTAATGACAATGAGGGTCTCCATTATAATATGTCAAACAACTTTTGATGCTTGTTGTTGAGAATGTTCTTGGTGTAAATGGATGTTTATAGCAAATTGATTTGCATCATATTGTATTTTCTATCACTTTTGGGTGTATAATTGACCCATTTGTATTGTTTCATACTCTCAAAGTGTAATGATCAAAGCTACAGCTACTGCTACTTAGAGAATCAAATAATTTTTTTAAGAGTTTGTTTAGAGATTTAATACGGTTTGTTAAATGATATCAACTAAAGTTAATTTATTTTTATCTAGGAAAAAAATCATTTTACCAGTAAAAGATTGCTAGCCGACACACTTTCGTTTAACCGACTAGAACTCCAAGTTTTCAATACATTGCACATAATTGTAATTTGCAAGATGAACTTAATGTTCAACTGAATTTCATGTTTTAATTTTTGTAGTTTTATTAAAACTACATCATTTTAAGTGAATTTTAGATTTTGAACATCACCTAGAGAAATGGAAAAATGGTTTTGCCTTGGTTTAGAACCAAAAATTTCAATTTGAAAGACTATATATTATATAATATAGCAATTATTCGGATCAATCGGGCGGGCTCGGGTTAGTCGGGTTCGGGTCAATCGGGTTGTGGGTTAATCGGGTTCGGGTTTAGTCGGGTTGCGGGCCAGTCGGATTGCGGGCCAATCGGGTTGCGGGCTAGTCGGGTTGCGGGTCGGGCAGGTTACGGGTCATTGACTTTAAGTCAATTCGGGTTGCGGGCGGGTTGCGGATCGGGTTAAACGGACGGGTTCTGTTTTGACACCTATAGTTGCATGTGTCCAACCTGATCGATTTTGTCTAGATCTAGAGTTAGGTTGTTTCTTTTTTTGGTTCTTTCTGTTGTTGCAGGTTTTTCATTGCATTGGAGTTTCAATGCTACGTGTGTCCGACCCAGTCGATTTCGTCTGGATCCAGAGTTGCGTTGTTTCTTTTTTGGTTCTTGGAGGTTTCTCATTACATTGAAGTTTGAATGTTGCATGTGTCCGACCTGGTCGATTTTGTCTAGATCTATTAAATATTCCAATTTTGTTCTCAACTATTATTCTGTTAGTGTTGACTGCGTTGACAGTTAGCATTTAACAAAAAGTCTAGTCAGGTTGATATGTCATACGACGTGGAAATTTTAAATTTAATTTTATTAAAAAAATAATTAAAATAAAAAATACACAAAAAAAACTCTTCGACCTCCTTTCCCCTCTCTGCCCTCACTCTCCTCTAGTCAGTGATTTATTTTGGTATCGCTTAGCGTCGATCTATTTTGGCAATTAATGGCGAGGATGCGCTACTATTGTTGTGAATATGGGATTCGTTTGGGGAGTAGGAATTTTTGTCAAGGACTCGCTTTGCGTCGCTGAGCACGCCTTGCATCACCGGCCACCATGGGCATCCACGCCTCCTTCTTCAATTCAGAGCTCCCCTGAAATCGACCATGGAATATTCAATTTAGAGCGGTATCTCGAATGGGTTCCCGTTTGAGGTGGAGACAGGGGTTTTGGATCTGCGTGGTACCCTCCCCGCTGGTAATCCTTCGTTCCCTCATCCTCAGCGAAAAAGTTAATATGCACTACAAGAAAATCAATCTACGGAGACAAATAATCAGATGCAATCATTGTTTTAATCTCCATAGCTAACTTTTTTATGCAGAAATATTATTTGCATCTATAAGTTATTGTATCTGTCTCCATTTCATAACATTTTTAAGGCTTTTAGAAAGAAATATTATTCGTCTCCATATGTCATTATATTTGTATATGTTTCATGATTTTTTGGAAGCCTTTTAGAAACAAATATTATTTGTCTCCCATTAAATTTGCATATGATTTCGGTTGTATGTATAGAGACAATTAAAATAGTTTCTAATCTAAACTTTTAATATTATTATAAAAAATACTTATGAAATAACTAAAAAAATTAAAACTTATATAAGAAACCATATTTGGCTAGCGGTCACCATTCACCACCCCAAGGCGGGGTCCGGATCCCCTCAGTAACCAACATATCAGTAACCATCAGTAACCGCTCTATCAACCGTCCATCCCATCCGCTTTTCAACCGTCAGATCAAGCAAAAGTAACTACACGGGGGGGGGGGGGGGGGGGGGGGGGGGGCAAAATAGTAATCTTTCCATCTGACAATTTGAAAAGCAGACGTGACATTAAACCGTGCCCGCCTTCTTTCCTTCTTTCTCTCACCTTTCACGCGACAGTTGCACTTCCCTCTGTTCTCTAACTCTCCATTCTTCATCCAATCGCGCACCAAAAACTTCAGAAAACACAGAATCATTCAACGATTTTCGCAAAGGTTTTCGAAGAATCATTCAACGATTCACTGTTCTCGCTTCTTCG